CCGACCACAAAACGGGAGATTGATACATACCGCCCCAGATCATTATCATTCTCTTTAAAGAAATGGTATAAAAGGGATTCACAGTGTGAAAGAGCTCAGTTTGTTCAAGTTGCAGTTTCGAGCTGATGGTCTGCCATTATTGGAGTGCTCTTATGCCAATGTATGCCGGCTTTTGCAGAAATCCTATGTTGTCGTGGATACAGTAGCTGGAATCAAGCGAGAGGTCGCCCACAATTATAGGCGCCATGAAAAGAACCTGGTCCTCTTACCATACCATGAAGAACTGACCTGTGAACTGGACGCCCGCTTCGACCACATAAAGCACGGAATTGTTACAGCAGTTCTGGTGAACGAACAAAGACCAGCATTAAGGAACTTTATATTTGCTTTAAAGATGTAAGTTTCTACTGCAACTATTAGCAAGCTAAAAATAAGTTTTAGGTACCTTTCCGTGTACGGATTTCATTTCACCAGAGAGGACCATCTTCAAATGATTGAACTGCTGTACTTTATTCTAGTGAGAAAACACCAGTGGCATGATATTGTGACATACGCTGCTAAGACTTTAGAAGACTTGGCGAAGTACGATGTCGCAGTTTTTCAGGATAACATAGAGGAACCATTTCAGTAAATGCTACTTCGGCTATCAAGATCTGACATTGGATTGGGAACCGCTATTCGATCTTTATTATGGGGCAAACTATGGAAAGCTTATGGAAGAAATCGAAGGAAAAAATCTGAAAAATGCGGTTTTCTTGTTGAAAAGATTCTATCGTCCCTCAGATACTCCAAAAATTTGGGACAGGGTGCGTTTTGATTATCGCCACATCAAGGACGAGTTTGAGTGTACGGCTGCATTCTGACTATAGGATCACAAAATGAAAAATCACAAACGATCTAATTTTAGACGCAATTCATTTGAGCAAAATTTCTCCACAGAGCGGTGGATTGCATGGATTGAGCAGATGTATTCCTTTGCTGCTAGGCTCGTCTAAGACGATTAATGGCGATGATGATTTCCTTGTTACGCAAGACTTGGCCATCAAATCCTAGAAAAAGAAAATCGTTTTCCACTTGTTGGCCCGCAACCAGTGTGCAAATGACACTGCAGAATGTGGCAAT